ATCTAGTGGATGAACTGGGAATCAGACATGAGATCGGATTACATCAGTGAAAGGGTTACGACTTCAGCTTTCTCCTCATACGTACTGCATATCGTTCCTGTAAAACGATAAATGAAGGCATGGCAGACCCATGGCACGTTGCACATGGTGCTTTCAAGACAACTGGGGACTTGGAAAAAAACGAGGTCAAATCATGACATCAGTGATCTTCAGGTCGGACCTCTTGAAAGAGGCCAGAGTTCCAGACTTGGAATTCCGAGTAGGATGACCATTCAAAATGATTTTATCCCAGTCAGAGCTCATTTTCTTTGACTTCCCAGTTGTCGCGAAAGCACTGAAGTCGGAAGTGGGAGATTTCAGAGTTCCCAGTTGTTTTTGAAAGCCCTGCACTGTCATTTTGAATATTGAATAGCTCCCCGTGTGTTTATACTAGAGATTTACCGGTATGTGTGGTGGCTTCAGCTCAATCCCCTCTTTCCGCCGATGTGAAGTTTTGCGCCTATTCTAGAACATGGGGCTTGTGTAACTGATATTTTTTCTACACATGAGAGAGTAAAACCCGAACCGTGTGAGCTACAAACGAATGTCACCAATATCGAAAGGGGAGACTCTCATGAACATGACAGTTGTTTGGCTCTATGACATCTGCAAGCCTCAGGCAAAACGTGCATAGGGGGTCAAATGTGCCAAAAATAACGTGACCAAAATCGAAATCTTTTTTTCCCCCTGAGTTTTCTTAGACTATGTCTCCTAGATATAAAAATCAAATCGAATCAAATTGTATTGATCACATGCGCCGAATACAACAGGTGTAGACCTTACAGTGAAATGCTTATTTACAAGCCCTTAACCAACAATGCAGTTTTTAGAAAGAATACCCCAAAAAAATCACAAAAAATACAATATGAAATAATACGAAATAAAAGTAACAAATAATTAAAGAGCAGCAGTAAAAACAACAATAGCGAGGCTATATACAGGGTTAACCCTAACCCTAACCCTAACACTAACCCTAACCCTAACCGAGTCAATATGCGGGGGCACCGGTTAGTCAAGGTAATTGAGGTAATATGTACATGTAGGTAGAGTTATTGAAGTGACTATGCATAGATAATAAACAGAGTAGCAGCAGCGTAAAAGAGGGGGGGGGGGGGCAATGCAAATAGTCTGGGTAGCCATTTGATTAGATGTTCAGGAGTCTTATGGCTTGGGGGTAGAAGCTGTTTAGAAGCCTCTTGGACCTAGACTTGGTGCTCCGGTACGTCTTGACGTGCGGTAGCAGAGAGAACAGTCTATGACTAGGGCCTTCCTCTGACACCGCCTGGTATAGAGGTCCTGGATGGCAGGAAAATTGGCCCAATTGATGTACTGGGCCTTACGCACTACCCTCTGTAGTGCCTTGCGGTCGGAGGCCGAGCAGTTGTCATACCAGGCAGTGAAGCAACCAGTCAGGATGCTCTCGATGGTGCAGCTGTAGAACCTTTTGAGGATCTGAGGACCCATGCCAAATCTTTTCAGTCTCCTTAGAGGGAATAGGTTTTGTCGTGCCCTCATCACGACTGTCTTGGTGTGCTTGGACCATGTTAGTTTGTTGGTGATGTGGACACCAAGGAACTTGAAGCTCTCAACCTGCTCCACTACAGTCGATGAGAATGGGGGCGTGCTCGGTCCTCTTCTTTTTCCTGTAGTCCACAATCATCTCCTTTGTCTTGATCATGTTGAGGGAGAGGTTGTTGTCCTGGCACCACATGCCAGGTCTCTGACCTCCTCCCTAAAGGCTGTCTCGTCGTTGTCGGTGATCAGGCCTACCACTGTTGTGTCATCGGCAAACTTAATGATGGTGTTGGAGTCATGCCTGGCCATGCAGTCATGGGTGAACAGGGAGTACAGGAGGGGACTGAGCACGCACCACTGAGGGAACCCATGTTGAGGATCAGCTTTGCTGATGTGTTGTTACCTACCCTTACCACCTGGGGGCGGCCCGTCAGGAAGTCCAGGATCCATTTGCAGAGGGAGGTGTTTAGTCCCAGGGTCCTTAGCTTAGTGATGAGGAACACTATTTTTTACATTTTAGTCATTTAGCAGACGCTCTTATCCAGAGCGACTTACAGTTAGCGCATACATTATTTTATCGAACCCACAACCCTGGCGTTGCAAACGCCATGCTCTACCAACTGAGCTACATCCCCTGTGTTGAACAATGAGCTGTAGTCAATGAATAGCATTCTCACATAGGTGTTCCTCTTGTCCAGGTGGGAAAGGGCAGTGTGGAGTGCAATAGCGATTGCATCATCTGTGGATCTGTTTGGGCGGTATGCAAATTGGAGTGGGTCTAGGGTTTCTGGGATAATGGTGATTATGAGAGCCTTGACCAGCCTTTCAAAGCACTTCATGGCTACAGACGTGAGTGCTACGGGTCGATAGTCATTTAGGCAGGTTACCTTAGTGTTCTTGGGCATTGGGACTATGGTGGTCTGCTTGAAACATGTTGGTATTACAGACTCAGACAGGGAGAGGTTGAAAATGTCAGTGAAGACACGTCCTGGTAATCCGTCTGGCCCTGCGGTCTTGTGAATGTTGACCTGTTTAAAGGTCTTACTCACATCGGCTACGGAGAGCGTGATTACACAGTCGTCCGGAACAGCTGATGCTCTCATGCATGTGATCGAGATGTGGTTGTCCCTCTGGCTATCCTAAGTTGAATGCACCAATTTGTAAGTCGCTCTGGATAAGAGCGTCTGCTAAATGACTTAAATGTAAATGTAATGTTTCAGTGTTACTTGCTTCGAAGCTCGCGGCTGTGCTTCCCTTTGTAGTCTGTAATAGTTCGCAAGCCCTGCCACAGCCGACGAGCATCGGAGCCGGTGTAGTACGATTCAATCGTAGTCCTGTATTGACGCTTCGCCTGTTTGATGGTTCGTCGGAGGCCATAGCGGGATTTCTTATAAGCTTCCGGGTTAGAGTCCCGCTCCTTGAAAGCGGAGGCTCTACCCTTTAGCTCAGTGTGGATGTTGCCTGTAATCCATGGCTTCTGGTTGGGGTATGTACGTACAGTCACTGTGGGGACAACGTCATCGATGCACTTATTGATGAACCCAGTGACTGATGTGGTAAACTCCTCAATGCCATCTGAAGAATCCCGGAACATATTCCAGTCTGTGCTAGCAAAACAGTCCTGTAGCTTAGCATCTGCTTCATCTAACCACTTTTTTATTGACGAGTCATTGGTGCTTCCTGCTTTCGTTTTTGCTTGTAAGCAGGAATCAGGAGGATAGAATTATGGTCAGATTTGCCAAATGGAGGGCGAGGGAGAGATTTGTACGGGTCTCTGTGTGTGGAGTAAAGGTGGTCTGGAGTTTTTTTCCCTCTGGTTGCACATTTAACATGCTGGTAGAAATGAGGTTATACTGATTTAAGTTTCCCTGTATTAAAGTCCCCGGCCACTAGGAGTGCCGCCTCTTGATGAGCGTTTTCCTGTTTGCTTATGGCCGTATACAGTTAATTGAGTGCGGTCTTAGTGCCAGCATCGGTTTGTGGTGGTATATAGACAGCTACGAAGACAATGGATGAAAACTCTCTTGGTAGATAGTGTGGTCTACAGCTTATCATGAGATACTCTTCCTCAGGCGAGCAAAACCTTGAGATTTCCTTTGCATAGACCGCCACCCCTTGTCTTACCAGAGGCTGCTGTTCTATCCTGCCGATACAGTGTATAACCCGCCAGCTGTATGTTATCCATGTCGTCGTTCAGCCACAACTCGAATGTCCCGTTGGTAGGATATTCGTGCCTGTAATTCGTCCACTTTATTATCAGGTGATTGTAAATTGGACAATAGTATTGATGGCAAAGGCAGATTAGCCACTCGTCGCCGGCTCCTTACCAGGCACCCCGATCTCCTTCCGCAATATCTCCTTTTCTTTCTACTGTGAATGACGGGGATGAGGGCCCTGTCGGGTGTCTGGAGCAAATCCCTCTCGTCCGACTCATTAAAGAAAAATTATTTGTCCAGTTCAAGGTGAGTAATCGCTGTTCTGATGTCCAGAAGCTCTTTTCGGTCATAAGAGACGGTAGCAGCAACATTATGTACAAAATAAGTTACAAACAATGCGAAAAAACACACAAAATAGCACGGTTGGTTAAGAGTCCATAAAACGGCCGCCATCTTCCGGACAGACACTTATGATTTATTTTTTGACTGTCTGTTTTGCCATTTATGAATGTGTTATTCAATGCGCTTCTATGGGCTATAGCAGTAAAGGCCAAATTCAATGTTTCATCAAATAATTGTTTTATTTAAAAAAATGTACCCACAGGGATCCTAAAATTCAAAATCAAATGGCTAAATGATCAATTTTATGACCATCTTAATACAAATCCATATGTTAGCTTAGTAGATATTGCGATCTAAAGGCTTAGACCTACAGGGGTTAAAAAGGCTTTTATGCATGTTTAGAGCACCACCATTAGATAAAAGATATGACAATTATTTATTTATATATTTTTTATATCCTTTTGGAATGGTAATTGGTAACACGTATTTTATTTCAAACCTAGACTTTCAAACCTCTTATTCCCCAACATGGGGACAATTTGGGAACCAAATCCAAAAATACAGTAAACTCGTATTTTTTTTAATAGCTTTTCTTTACCGGCTGTTGCTCTGTCATAGTCACGTTGTTGTACCAGAATCCCACGGTTCTTACCTTTTTTTAACAGGACTAAGTATGGGTTTGAAATCAAAATGTATCTAATGGTAGTTTACAATATGTGTAAATGCCACCAGAGGACATCAGAGTTTTAAATGGTTTGTCCTGTTTTCTACTGGGGTATATCTAAATGTTTTACTAAATATTAAGTGGAAAATAGTAGTAATGTAAGTCATAGCAAATAATAATAGTACATTTGTTTCTCACAATAGTGCAGATGTTGGGGCCTTGGTCTGGGGGTGTAGATTATGATGCTACATGCTCTGTTGTTTAACAGTCTCCACTGACCTACAATGACCCCATCTATTAAAGAGCGGCTCCTGGCCATTCTGAAGGATCTTGTCTCTGAGGAGCTGAAGAACTTTAAGTGGCATCTAATAGATAACCCGCTGGATGGCTTCCTTCACATTCCAAAGTGCCAGCTGGAGACATCTGACAGACTGGACACAGTGGATCAGATGGTGCAGAAATACAGGGAAAATGGGGCTGTGATGATCACACTGGAGGTCCTGAAGAAGATGGGCCGTAACGATCTCGCTGAGAAGCTAAAAAGAGACTGTCCAACAGGTAACTCAGAATTCATAGGTGCTTGTGTCTCTAAGGTTTTGAGCAAATAAATATATATTATACTGTATTGTTGAAATAAGAAATTCTATATGCATTCTAAAATAAGTTATATACAGTTTGTTATTGGCTAACCCTGTAAAACTACCCCTTTTCTTTTAAATGTGCATTAATTTCATGTGCTTAGATTTTTCCAATAATCAGATATAATGTAAAAGAAACTACAAATATATTTGTTTATTGTGTATTGTTGAGCATCTAGAGAACAGCATATGCTTGCCTACTTGCTAACTATTCTATAACCATTGTCAGGTCCTTCGGATGAAGTTGTTGAGAAGTACCAACAAGAACTCAAACTGAAACTAAAAGAGAAGTTTCACATCCCTCCTGAGTGTGTTGACCAGGTGACAGAGGTACGAGGGTTCAATGAGCCACAGAAGGAGGAGTACTTCAGGAAGAGATTCAGTGATGAGGACCTGGCCAGCAGAATCATGTTTGACCTGAAGAAATACTCCAGATCAGAGGAAGATCTTCTGAGGCTGCTGCCAGTGGTCAAAGCCTCCACAACTGCTCTGTAAATACATGTTTAAAAAAAATATTTATATATACAGTACCAGTCAAAAGTTTGGACACACCTACTCATTCAAGGGTTTTTCTTTATTTTTACTATTTTTTACATTGTAGAATAATAATGAAGACATCAAAACTATGAAATAACACATATGGAATCATGTAGTAACCAAAAAAGTGTTAAACAAATGAAAATATATTTCAGATGTTTTCATCTAAATGTTTTTGCTTTGCCCACTCTTGGCATTCTCTCAACCAGCTTCACTTGGAATGCTTTTCCAACAGTCTCGAAGGAGTTCCCACATATGCTGAGCACTTGTTGGCTGCTTTTCCTTCACTCTGCGGTCCGACTCATCCCAATCCATCTTAATTGGGTTGAGGTCGGGTGATTGTGGAGGCCAGGTCATCTGATGCAGCACTCCATCACTCTCCTTCTTGGTCAAATAGCCCTTACACAGCCTGGAGGTGTGTTGGGTCATTGTCCTGTTGAAAAACAAATGATAGTCCCACTAAGCCCAAACCAGATGTGATGGCGTATCGCTGCAGAATGCTGTGGTAGCCATGCTGATTAAGTGTGCCTTGAATTCTAAATAAATCACTGACAGTGTCACCAGCAAAGCACCATCACACCTCCTCCTCCATGCTTCACCGTGGGAACTACACATGCAGAGATAATCCGTTCACCTACTCTGCGTCTTACAAAGACACGGTGGTTGGAACCAAAAATCAAAAATTTGGACTCATCAGACCAAAGGACAGATTTCCACCAGTCTAATGTCCATTGCTCGTGTTTCTTGGCCCAAGCAAGTCTCTTCTTATTATTGGTGTCCCTTAGTAGTGGTTTCTTTACAGCATTTCGACCATGAAGGCCTTATTCACGCAGTCTCCTCTGAACAGTTGATGTTGAGATGTGTCCGTTACTTGAACTCTGTGAAGCATTTATTTGGGTTGCAATTTCTGAGGCTGGTAACTCTAATGCACTTATCCTCTGCAGCAGAGATAACTCTGGGTCTTCATTAGATCCAGTTTCATCATTGCGCTTGATGGTTTTTGCGACTGCACTTGAAGAAACTTTGAAAGTTCTTGAAATGTTCCGTATTGACTGACCTTCATGTCTTAAAGTAGTAATGAACTGTCGTTTCTCTTTGCTTATTTGAGCTGTTCTTGCCATAATATGGACTTGGTCTTTTACCAAATACGTCTATCTTCTGTATACCACCCCTACTTTGTCACAACACACCTGATTGGCTCAAACGCATTAAGAAGGAAATAAATCCCACAAATTAACTTTTAAGAAGGCACACCTGTTAATTGAAATGCATTCCAAGTGACTACCTCATGAAGCTGGTTGAGAGAATGCCAAGAGCGTGCATAGCTGTCATCAAGGCAAAGGGTGGCTACTTTGAAGAATCTCAAATATAAAATATATTTCGATTTGTTTAACACTTTTTTGGTTACTACATGATTCCGTATGTGTTATTTCATAGTTTTGATGTCTTCACTATTATTCTATTAAATAGTAAAAATAAAGAAAAACCCTTGAATGAGTAGGTGTGTCCAAACTTTTGACTGGTACTGTATATATCATCAGTTAGAATCCACATGAGCATATTACATATTCATTGTTGATTCTCAAATGTTCTGTACATGTACACAGTACACACAGTTGTCTAAATTCATGTTCATTGTGTTTTACTTTTCAAAGGCTTAATGGGTGTAACCTCACGGTGAAATGCTGTGAAGCCTTGGCCTCAGCTTTCAACTCAACCTCCTCAAACCTAAGAGAGCTGGACCTGAGTGACAACAACCTGCAGGATTCAGGAGTGGAGCTGCTCTGTGCTGGACTGGAGAATCCACACTGCAAACTGCAGACACTGAGGTCAGTAGTCTGTATTAGTTCACTAAAGGGGATAGTTCATTATGTGTTCTACAGGTATTTATAGAGGACAATATCAGACTAATGAGTTTGGTCTCAGCTGAATTTAAATGTCATAGTTACCTAACTGCAAATTAATGTTTGGAAGAGGAAGAAATACACAATCTTTTGATATCGTTTATTTTTATTTTCAAGATGCTTTACTTATTGAAGTCAAATGTTTTTAGTTATAGAATTATGTGATTGTAATATTATTGTTATCAGGTAATTTTTTACATGCAAACGTCACCTGCCATTTCCCTTTTCACCACTAGAGGGTGTAAATATGTGATTTACTCTGCAGGTTGTCACGCTGTCTGGTCACAAAGAAAGGCTGTGCTTCTCTGGCCTCAGCTCTGTGGTCAAACCCCTCCAACCCGAGAGAGCTGGACCTGAGCTACAATATCCCAGGAGAGTCCGGAGCGAAGCAGCTCTCTGTTGGACTGGAGGATCCACACTAGAGATTGGAGAAACTCAAGTATGTGGTGAGGGTTTGTGGAGTTTGTGTCATTGCATGTGTGACATGGACAATTTTGGTTCAGGTTTCCTGGGTTAGTTCTAACCATTTAATCAGGGGCGCAACTTTCACTGGGGACTGGGGGGACATGTCCCAGCCACATTCTGAAATGGCATTTTGTGCCCCCCCCGATTTATAATTGGAATGTGATACAAAATGAGGCAACGGTGTATACAAAACGGTATACAAAACGGTGTGCTTTAGGACCATGTGGACGCCTCCGAGCGGTCGGGTAGGCTCTTTGGAGTGTTTATCCAACTGGGATTTTTTTTTTTAAATTGCCCCCCCCACTTCTAAAACCAAAGTTGCTCCCTTGCATTTAATATCCAACAAACAATATTTGAACTGATATCAGTGTGTGCATGTGTGTGTTTTACTGAATCACTGTTCTGCTTCTCTTACAGTGTGGACCACTGTGGAGAGTACTGGCAGCTGAAAAAATGTAATGTTGACTGCTGTGAAGAAATGTGAAATGTGTTATTAGGGATGAAACAGGAAATAGCATAACCTCACTAAGAGTCATTGTCAAGTTACTCAACTGGTCAAATTAAATATAAGCTACCATTTTAAGGAAGTAGAATCAGACACTATTCCCACTGGGCATTGGGCACAGACATCAGTTCAACGTCTTGTTTGATTTACATTTGGTTGAGCTACTAACCTGAATTCAAACTGAATTCAACAAAAAATGTCACCCTGTCATTGGATTTAGGTTCAAAGTTAGGTGAAAAAATACAAACTTCCCTTACGTCGATGACTTTTTGCAAATCCAAACTGTTTTCCACATTGATTCAATGTCATCACAGACATTTGTTTTTTTTATGACATGGAAACAATGTTGATTCAACCAGTTTTTGCCCAGTGGAATGTACTGTATAAGCTTGAATACAAAGGTCATATAAAGTTTAGAATTTAGATTAAAAGACGATAAATGAAACACAAAAAAACATATTATTTGCAAGTATTCTCTTTTATTTTTATTTTTTTGGGGTAGATCAGCTTTAATATTGCAGATAGATTGTAACTTCCATCAATGTAATTGTCTGCATCACTTCCAATCCCCCATATGTTTTTTCTTCTCGCATATATATATATATATATATATATATATATATATATATATATATATGCATATATATATATATATACATACACATATACATACATATATACAAATATATATATATACATACATACATACATACATACATACATACATACATACACAAACACATCCTTTAAAAATATAAATTTCCCTTTATTATCTTCCAACCCCGCCACCCCTTCCCTAATTGGAGTAAACTAGTGAACAACAATGCTTAGACCTCTACTTCCAGTTTATACATACTATATACATTTTATGGACACAGTCAAATTCTACAATAATTCTATTTTGTTTGTTTTTACTACTGAACTTCCTCTACCCTCAACCTCTCCGATCATTTTCATGATGTCCATCCGGTGTGCTTCTACAGTTAGGGAAAAAAGTATTTGATCCCCTGCTGATTTTGTACGTTTGCCCACTGAAAAAGAAATGATCAGTCTATAATTTTAATGGTAGGTTTATTTGAACAGTGAGAGACAGAATAACAACAACAAAAATCCAGAAAAACGCATGTCAAAAATGTTATAAATTGATTTGTATTTTAATGAGGGAGATAAGTATTTGACCTCCTCTCAATCAGAAAGATTTCTGGCTCCTAGGTGTCTTTTATACAGGTAACGAGCTGAGATTAGGAGCACACTCTTAAAGGGAGTGCTCCTAATCTCAGCTTGTTATCTGTATAAAAGACACCTGTCCACAGAAGCAATCAATCAATCAGATTCCAAACTCTCCTCCATGGCCAAGACCAAAGAGCTCTCCAAGGATGTCAGGGACAAGATTGTAGACCTACACAAGGCTGGAATGGGCTACAAGACCATCGCCAAGCAGCTTGGTGAGAAGGTGACAACAGTTGGTGCGATTATTTGCAAATGGAAGAAACACAAAAGAACTGTCAATCTCCCTCGGCCAGGGGCTCCATGCAAGATCTCACCTCGTGGAGTTGCAATGATCATGAGAACGGTGAGAAATCAGCCCAGAACTACACGGGAGGATCTTGTCAATGATCTCAAGGCAGCTGGGACCATAGTCACCAAGAAAACAATTGGTAACACACTACACCGTGAAGGACTGAAATCCTGCAGCGCCCGCAAGGTCCCCCTGCTCAAGAAACACTTATGCTGGCCCGTCTGAAGTTTGCCAATGAACATCTGAATGATTCAGAGGAGAACTGGGTAAAAGTGTTGTGGTCAGATGAGACCAAAATCGAGCTCTTTGGCATCAACTCAACTCGCCGTGTTTGGAGGAGGAGGAATGCTGCCTATGACCCCAAGAACACCATCCCCACCGTCAAACATGGAGGTGGAAACATTATTCTTTGGAGGTGTTTTTCTGCTAAGGGGACAGGACAACTTCACCGCATCAAAGGGAGGATTGACGGGGCCATGTACCGTCAAATCTTGGGTGAGAACCTCCTCCCCTCAACCAGGGCATTGAAAATGGGTCGTGGATAAGTATTCCAGCATGACAATGACCCAAAACACACGGCCAAGGCAACAAAGGAGTTGCTCAAGAAGAAGCACATTAAGGTCCTGGAGTGGCCTAGCCAGTCTCCAGACCTTAATCCCATAGAAAATCTATGGAGGGAGCTGAAGGTTCGAGTTGCCAAACGTCAGGCTCGAAACCTTAATGACTTGGAGAAGATTTGCAAAGAGGAGTGGGACAAAATCCCTCCTGAGATGTGGGCAAACCTGGTGGCCAACTACAAGAAACGTCTGACCTCTGTGATTGCCAACAAGGGTTTTGCCACCAAGTACTAAGTCATGTTTTGCAGAGGGGTCAAATACTTATTTCCCTCATTAAAATGCAAATCAATTTATAACATTTTTGACATGCGTTTTTCTGGATTTTTTTGTTGTTATTCTGTCTCTCACTGTTCAAATAAACCTACCATTACAATTATAGACTGATCATGTCTTTGTCAGTGGGCAAACGTACAAAATCACCAGGGGATCCAATACCTTTTTCCCTCACTGTATATGCCATATCTTTCTAACTGTGCTCTTTCACAAAAGCTCTCAACCTATAACCTATACACTTTTTATGGACACAGTATGCTTACATTATTAGTTATCTTTGTAGTGTATTAAGAATTATGACTTTGCTAATGTTTTCAAGTGGAACCTGAGAGGATGTTTATTTAGTTTCAGAGGGAGTTGTTTTAGGGTGACGCCCCATAAGACAGAGGGAGTGTGTGTTGTAGACAGGGGATTGGACAGTAGAGGGAGCCACCCATATTTTGGGGAATATTATAAGTACTGGGTTTGTACAAAGAACATTAGAGCAGACATATTCTTTTGGGACACTGCTCTCCGGGTGATCATGACATCTGTAAACTTATGCTGAAATCTTGTGATATGAATAAAACTTATGATCAAAGTTCAGTATAAGCGGACTCCTTTGTTACAGCATAATTAGCAACATTTGACTCGACACTACATCTTGTTATTATTTTTTATTAGTTGTTATTAGTCCCATCCTTCAACTCCATTCAACACCACCCATCTATCTCTTAACACCATCCATATTGGATTTCTATTTGCCATTTAGTTTTCAACTGTACTGTGATGTTTTACAAAAGTTCTGAACGTTTCTATTCTCATTGTTTCTACAGATTGTAAATTGAAAATAAACATTTTTGCTAACAGCATTATTATATTAGTGATCGATTGACTATGACTTTTCAGATCACCGAGTAATGCTATCTGCAGGGTTAGCTCCAGGTAAATATTGCAATCCTTGAGCCATTCCTGGACCTGTGTCCAAAAACAAGCTACAAATGGACAGTACCAAAACAAATTATCTAATGATTCTGTCTCTTCGCAGCAAAATCTGCAGAGCTGGGAAGATTGTATCCCCCATATAAATAACATTCTATTGGTTGCAAGAATTTTATATAATAATTGAAATTGAAGTTTTGAATCCGGCGTCGTTTTGCGTATCAGTTCATAAACACTATGCCATGGGATCGGTACGTCAAAAATATCTTCCCAACTACTTTGCAATCTAATGGGACGGCTGTCAATCTTTTGGTCCTTAAATTAAACTGGTATACTTTTTTATTTATCACGGTTTTCTTTAACCAATTATGTTCTTTAATGCAAGGCCGACAGACAAGTTCCTTACTTTTCCCCCCTTCCACATTTTTGCGGCAATGCTGCAATTATTTGGTTGTAATTTTGGGTAGAGCAGGCATTTCCATATGTTTTTGTTAGCTGCATGTGCGACATGACTCCACCAGTCCTACCGATGAGCTCATTTATGAAGACCATACCTTTTCTAAACATTTTGTCAAAAAAAAAACAGGTTTTTTATCAATTCGTATATTTGAGTTTAACCACAATATTTGTTGCATTATTTGTTCTGTCGTTTCTGGAGGATTAAATTGAAATTGCAACCAACTTTCTATGGCTTGTTTTAGAAATAGTGATATTTGGGAGATGATTTCCTTTTCAAATAACTGAAAGTGAGAGGTTGTAATATGAATAAAGGGAAAAAAGCCATTCTTGAACATTGGGTGAGACAATCTTACTAATTTGGTTGAGAACCAGTTTGGATTTAAGTATAACTTTTGTATGACTGAAGCTTTTAGTGATAGGTCTAATGATTTAATATTTAATAATTTCTGTCCTCCAAATTTATATTCATTATATAAATAGGCCCGTTTAATTTTGTCTGGCTTGCCGTTCCAAATAAAATGGAATATTTTTTTCTCATATAATTAAAAAAACTGTTCGCGTAGGCAAGGCATTTTTATATTTTTTGGATCATTTGTGAGAAGGAGGCAGTGATACTTTCTTTAAAGTCTCACTGCCTCCTTCTCACAAATGATCCCAAAAATATAAAAATGTAATAAAGTTGGTTCAACACAGTGGCGTGTCATTTTGACCCTAGGACAACGGGAGGGTTAAAAAGAAAAGAGAGAATACTTGTAAATAATGTTTTTTAGTGTTTCAGTTAAAAAGAAAAGAGAGAATACTTGTAAATAATGTTTTTTAGTGTTTCAGTTAAATAGAAAAGAGAGAATACAGTGGGGGGGGGGGGGGGAGTATTTAGTCAGCCACCAATTGTGCAAGTTCTCCCACTTAAAAAGATGAGAGAGGCCTGTAATTGTCATCATAGGTACATGTCAACTATGACAGACAAATTGAGATTTTTTTTCCCAGAAAATCACATTGTAGGATTTTTAATGAATTTATTTGCAAATTATGGTGGAAAATAAGTATTTGGTCACCTACAAACATGCAAGATTTTTGGCTCTCACAGACCTATAACTTCTTCGTTAAGAGGCTCCTCTGTACTCCACTCGTTACCTGTATTAATGGCACCTGTTTGAACTTGTTATCAGTATAAAAGACACCTGTCCACAACCTCAAACAGTCACACTCCAAACAGATGTGGAGGGTTAACATCTTTAGTTGTTTTGAAAGATGTGGAGGGTTAACATCTTTAGTTGTTTTTGAGAGATGTGGAGGGTTAACATCTTTAGTTGTTTGAGAGATGTGGAGGGTTAACATCTTTAGTTGTCTTGAGAGATGTGGAGGGTTAACATCTTTAGTTGTCTTGAGAGATGTGGAGGGTTAACATCTTTAGTTGTCTTGAGAGATATGGAGGGTTAACATCTTTAGTTGTCTTGAGAGGTGTGAAGGGTTAACATCTTTAGTTGTTTTGAGAGATGTGGAGGGTTAACATCTTTAGTTGTTTTGAGAGATGTGGAGGGTTAACATCTTTAGTTGTCTTGAGAGATGTGGAGGGTTAACATCTTTAGTTGTCTTGAGAGATGTGGAGGGTTAACATCTTTAGTTGTCTTGAGAGATGTGGAGGGTTAACATCTTTAGTTGTCTTGAGAGATGTGGAGGGTTAACATCTTTAGTTGTCTTGAGAGATGTGGAGGGTTAACATCTTTAGTTGTCTTGAGAGATGTGGAGGGTTAACATCTTTAGTTGTCTCTCCCTATTTTCATTTGTAGACTAAATCCTTTATCTGATAGTTCCTGGTTACATTTTGCTCCACTTTGTGGTTTGCTTCCTGTCTTTCAGTTTGGGGTTTTTCTTTTGTTTGCCTCCTCTTGGGCAGATTTAGTGGGTCTCATAGTGGGTCTCATAGTGGGTCTTATAGTGGGTCTCATAGTGGGTCTCATAGTGGGTCTTATAGTGGGTCTCATAGTGGGTCTCATAGTGGGTCTCATAGTGGGTCTCATAGTTGGTCTCATAGTGGGTCTCATAGTGGGTCTCATAGTGGGTCTCATAGTGTGTCTCATAGTGGGTCTCATAGTGGGTCTCATAGTGGGTCTCATAGTGGGTCTCATAGTGGGTCTTTTAGGTCCCAGTTGTTGTTGCTAGTCATCTTCCTGTGGACACCCCCATGAGTGTCTTTCAGAGCCCCTCCTAAAACCACCTGTTTCATTTTGGTTGTTGTCAGTGACCCTTTGTTAGTTCCCCTTTCTGTTTGAGCAACACTTTTAGGGGTTTTCTTGCTGTGGAATGTGACAATAGGACAGTTGTTATCATTGGCCTAAAATAGCTGTGGTAACCTAGTAACGTTAGCACTCCTGACGATTATCATTAAACGTCATCAACATGAACAGCCCAGCAGGTTTGAACACATTTTCACTCACAAGAATTTGGCAGCACAGCATCTAGAGACAATACACTGTAAATGAGTCCCAAATGGCACCCCATTCCCTATATAGTGCACTTCTTTTGAACAGGGCCCCATAGGGAATAGGGTGTAATTTGGGACAAAGCCTGGATGATACAAGTGTTGGTTTGAAAATACAATCTCCTAAAGGATCCAGGAACATGAAACTTCAGGGAAATAAAATAATTTACAACCTAACAATGAATGTGAACAAAAAAGTATGTTATAAACAGAGGGGAAATCTGTCACTCTTACTGTACCATGTTTTAATGTAGAAAAATGGTTGATATATATTTTCAACCTAAATCTGTTAGGCTTCCAATTATGTCAAGTTATTAAAGTATAATACATTTTGATAATAATGCTTTATTATTCTGAAAAACGTAATATAAAAAAATTATATAAATGTTCACTGAGTGAACAAAGCATTAGGAACACCTGCTCATTCCATGATATAGACTGACCAGGTGAATCCAGGTAAAAGCTATGATCCCTTATTACAGTTTTTTACAATCACTTTGGCACTAATTTCAGAACCTTGACGTCACTTTTCAAAACTCTAGACACAAAACTCACAACCAATGATCAAAATGCACATTTTTCAAAACTCTAACACTTTTTTCAATTGCTTGGATACAATACACATAAAACTAAGATCATTTGTTCATTTAACAAAAATCACCTGTTCAACATGACACAACTTAACATCAAACTACTACTATTTCAAAAGGCAATTCACACATTACATTTCAGATGAGTGTCTATTTATTTCATTACAATTATCCAACTATCAATTGATACAACTGCTCAAAATGATAAGTAACTTTTGCATTACTCTTAATGCATAGTTGTATGGAAACAGACAAACAATATTCCATGTTTAGATCATGAAAGTTTCAAGATAACAAGATTCATTGTCACCAATTAGCGTGGAGCATGAACCAATTAGACTACATTATCTATGGATGTAATAATGTGGTCCTCTGTAGCTCAGCTGGTAGAGCACGGCGCTTGTAACGCCAAGGTAGTGGGTTCGATCCCCGGGACCACCCATACACAAAAAAATGTATGCACGCATGACTGTAAGTCGCTTTGGATAAAAGCGTCTGCTAAATGGCATATTATATTATTATTATTATATTATTATAATATTTCATCATCATTCTTTATCAGACACCGTTTCTATGGTCCCATGTACCACATTTTCAGACTATTTACAGTATTGACAGTACTGCACTGTATGGATGCAGGCCCTTGTAATTGCTTGTCCAATTCTGCCAACTCGTTACTGATGATTGAGTTCACATTATGGAACGAGTATATAAAGAATTGATTGGGATCCACTTGCAACAACATAGCGATACGTACTGTAACATGGAGCCGGCAGGTGATCCAGGTCACAATAGAGGTCAAGCAGTGGTGGGAGGAAGACGAGGAAGACGAGGAAGACGTGTTGGTCAAAGGAATGGCAGGGGACAAGCACCCCTTCTGAGAGGTGGTCGTGGGCCTCGTTTGAGAGGTGTGGGGGAACGTGGTAGAGGAAAAGGCCACGGACCAAGACAGCGGCAGCAACAGCAAAGAGTGTCCAATGAAATCCGAGCAAGCATGGTTTCAGGCCCATGCACAATTTACCACCCTGTATTTACCCCCATACTCTCCTTTCCTTAACCCGATTGAGGAATTTTTCTCCACATGGAGATGGAAGGTTTATGACAGGCACCCTCATGAACAAGTCACTTTTCTCCAGGCCATGGATGACACATGCAATGACATCACGGCAGACCAGTGTCAGGCCTGGATTCGCCGTGGCCGAAGGTTTTTTCCAAGATGTTTGGCTAATTAAAACATCCATTGTGATGTAGATGAGAACCTGTGGCCAAATCCACAAGACAGAGTTGATGAAAATGTAGAAGTACAGTAATCACTCCTATGTTTTGCTTTTTACAGTACAAGCAAGCAAGTTGAGGAACACTGCATTTGATGTTTACAGTACTGTATCGTTTTTCATCAACATATTTCAGATTTTGTTCAATGATTCCACTGTGTGTGTAGTATTCTCTCTACTACAGCAGTACTTTTACAGGGATGTATTTACATGTAGTACCATAATGAAACATGTATCACCTATTTTGTACTACAATATTTAATGATTGTACGAACAATGACACAGTGAAACTATCGGTTGCTTGTGTGTGGGTGATCTAAATTAACGTTTCATTGGTATTTCACAATACATTAGTTTTTTGAACCAATGATTGTGCAAGTGCAAGATTTCTTTAAAGATATGAATGCACAATGCAATGTTTTGAACATTGGACAGCCTGTGTTACAAGTGATGACCGTTTTGAGTTTTGTGTCTAGAGTTTTGAAAAATGACGTCAAGGTTCTGAAATTAGTGTCAAAGTGATTGTAAAAAACTATAATGTCACTTGTTAAATCCACTTCAATCAGTGTAGATGAAGGGGAGGGGACAGGTTAAAGAAGGATTTTTAACCCTTGAGACAATTGAGACATGGATTGTGTATGTGTGTCATTCAGAGGGTGAATTGGCAAGACAAAATATTGAAGTGCCTTTGAACGGGGTATGGTAGTAGGTGCCAGGCGCACCGGTTTGAGTGTGTCAAGAACTGCAATGCTTCTGGGGTTTTCACACACCAAGAATGGTCCACCACCCAAAGGACATCCAGCCAACTTGACACTACTGTGGGAAGCATTGGAGTCAACATGGGCCAGCATCCCTGTGGAACGCTTTCAACACCTTGTAGAGTCCATGCTCAGACGAATTGAGGCTGTTCTGAGGGCAAAAGGGGGGGCAACTCAACATTAGGAAGGTGTTCCTAATGGTTTGTACACTCAGTGTATATTATATATATATATATATAATTGATTTTGAATCACGTCCCTTAGCTAGTTAGATTATAACTGTTGTTGTATCTGATAAAAAATAAGACTGGAGATCAGACCTAGATGAACTCAGATTAGATCAGACCTAGATGAACTCAGATTAGATCAGACCTAGATGAACTCAGATTAGATCAGACCTAGATGAACTCAGATTAGATCAGACCTAGATGAACTCAGATTAGATCAGACCTAGATGAACTCAGATTAGATCAGACCTAGATGAACTCAGATTAGATCAGACCTAGATGAACTCAGATTAGATCAGACCTAGATGAACTCAAATTAGATCAGACCTAGATGAACTCAGATTAGATCAGACCTAGATGAACTCAGATTAGATCAGACCTAGATGAACTCAGATTAGAGCAGACCTAGATTAACTCAAATTAAAGCAGACCTAGATGAACTCAGATTAGATCAGACCTAGATGAACTCAGATTAGATCAAATAAAGTATCAAGTTGTTAATTGTGAGTTAGATTCGGACATATTCCTTCCAAGAGGAAGGGATGTAGCTCAGTTGGTAGAGCATGGCGTTTGCAACGCCAGGGTTGTGGGTTCGATTCCCACGGGGGGCCAATATGAAAAATAAAAAAATAATAATGTATGCACTCACTAACTGTAAGTCGCTCTGGATAAGAGCGTCTGCTAAAATGACTAAAATGTAAATGTTTGTGTGAAAATGAACATACCAAAATGAACTGCAAAGCACACTGGGTATTTTTATTGGCCCTATTTCGGTGCAGAGCTCATTAGAATAATACTCAGCATGCTTTGCGATAATTTTTACATATACAATTACACTTAGTTCATTTAGCAGACACTCGTATCACACCATAGTGCCATCAGACTTCTGATACCAATGCAGGGTGAAAGGGGGCCACAAAATGGTTTTTATAGAAAAGTATTTTGTATTTAGAAAATACAAATTACAGCTCTCTAAAGTATCTTGCTACTAAATCCATTGGAGTGTAGTTCAGCCCAGTGTAATACAAATTACAGCTCTCTAAAGTATCTTGTTACTAGTTCAGCCCAGTGTAATACAAATTACTAAATACTCAGCAGTAATATATTTGAAATACATGTAACAGACATAGGCCTACTGCCCATCTGAGATTGTCAGTATTATTAGTTAAGAACAGCTGACATGTTGTAAGGGTTCTGTGTCCATGGCAACACAGTGTGGATGGAGTCACTCAACATCTTTTTCACACACAACTTTTCTACCATTAAAGCGTCGCAAGAGATTTAGTACGGTGTTCCTCAACCTCTGTTCTGTGGACCTGCGCCAGTCAGTGGGATGTTGCTGGCCACTCCCTGAGATGGTTCACTGGCACTAATGTAGTCAGTTCTACAGTGCTAGTTTTAATGTAAGCAGTCCCCCAAGGAGGAGAAACCATAGCTCACCGGAGCCCTTGGCTGGTCTAGGATCAGGTCCCCCTGTCCATGTAATCTTATTCATTATGATTATAAGGATTAAAACTGATCCTAGATCATGTCCAACTCTTTATGAATCGAGGAGGCAGAAAGTATGGAACACAGCCCAGCCCAGCTCAGCCCAGGACTGGATTACTTTCAGTTTCATTTCCTGAATACTCTGGGATCTTCATGGTTAGTCCTGCCCCCAGAGTATATGATGACACACACACACACACACACACACACACACACACACACACACACACACACACACACACACACACACACACACACACACACACACACACACACACACACACACACACACACACACACACACACACACACACACACACACACATCCAATCAACCTTTCACACGGCCTCGTACAGATCTAGACGGACATCGAGCACCAGAAAAAAGAGATTACATTTATTTTAAGACACCAGGTACTGTAAACACATTTTATGATGTGCTTTTTTGTCATCTTGTCTGTTAGATCTAGTCTGTCCTTACTAAACAAGTTAGATCTAGTCTGTCCTTACTAAACAAGTTAGATCTAGTCTGTCCTTACTAAACAAGTTAGATCTAGTCTGTCCTTACTAAACAAGTTAGATCTAGTCTGTCCTTACTAAACAAGTTAGATCTAGTCTGTCCTTACTAAACAAGTTAGATCTAGTCTGTCTTTACTAAACAAGTTAGATCTAGTGTGTCATTACTAAACAAGTTAGATCTATTCTGTCCTTACTAAACTAGTTAGATCTAGTCTGTCATTACTAAACAAGTTAGATCTAGTGTGCCAGACACGATCACCCGAAACCAGTCGTCCACCGCAGGAGCTTCGGTCTGGCTCTGATGCCACGGTGCCAGGACCGGCTGATACCCTAAAACACATTGAAATGGTGACATGTTAGTGGAGGAGTGGCGGAGAGAGTTCTGGGCATATTCGGCCCATGGCAAGAACACCGACAACTCCCCCGGACGGTCTTGGCAGTAGGACCACAGAAACCTAACCACATCCTGATTCACCCGTTCCAACTGCCCATTAGATTCGGGGTGAAACCCAGAGGTCAGGCTGACCGAGACCCCCAGACGATCCATGAACGCCTTCCAGACCCTAGAATTAAACTGGGGACCCCGGTCAGATACTATGTCCTCTGGCACCCCGTAGTGCCGGAAGACGTGAGTAAAAAGGGCTTCCGCAGTTTCAAATCAAATCAAATCAAATCAAATTTTATTGGTCACATGCGCCGAATACAACAGGTGCAGACATTACAGTGAAATGCTTACTTACAGCCCTTAACCAACAGTGCATTTATTTTAAACAAAAAAAGTAAGAATAAAACAACAACAAAAAAAGTGTTGAGAAAAAAAGAGCAGAAGTAAAATAAAGTGACAGTAGGGAGGCTATATATACAGGGGGGTACCGTTGCAGAGTCAATGTGCGGGGGCACCGGCTAGTTGAGGTAGTTGAGGTAATATGTACATGTGGGTAGAGTTAAAGTGACTATGCATAAATACTTAACAGAGTAGCAGCAGCGTAAAAAGGATGGGGTGGGGGGGCAGTGCAAATAGTCCGGGTAGCCATGATTAGCTGTTCAGGAGTCTTATGGCTTGGGGGTAGAAGCTGTTGAGAAGTCTTTTGGACCTAGACTTGGCACTCCGGTACCGCTTGCCGTGCGGTAGCAGAGAGAACAGTCTATGACTAGGGTGGCTGGAGTCTTTGACAATTTTGACAATTTTGAGGGTTTGCAGGGCCGTGGGGAGACCGGGCAGAGGAAGGAGGCAGCAGGCTTTAGAAAAGCTGTCCACAACGACCAGGATGGTGGCGTTACCCTGAGAGAGGGGTTAGTTCAGTTAGAAAATCGATCGATAAATGGGACCATGGCCTTTGTGGAACTGGTAAGGGATGTAACTTACCCGCTGGGAGGTGCCTAGGTGCCTTACTCTGGGCGCACACAGAGCAGGAGGAGACATACACCCTCATGTCCTTAGCCAAGGTAGCCCACCAGTACTTCCCGGTAAGGCAGCGCACTGTACGGCCGATTACTGGGTGACCAGAGGAGGGGGACTTGTGTGCCCAACAGATAAGATGATCACGGACACTAGACGGCACGTAACGAAGCCCAGCTGGGCGCTGAGGTGGAGATGGCTCTGTGCGTAATGCCTGCTCTATGTCCGCGTCCACTGCCCACACCACCGGTGCCACAACACAGGAGGCCGGGAGTATGGGGGTGTTATCAATGGGCCTCTGTGTCGTACAGCCGTGACAGTGCATCTGCCTTCACGTTCTTAGTGCCTGGTATATAGAACAGCATGAAATCAAACCCACCTGGTCTGGCGAGGGTTCAGCCTCCTCGCTGCCCAGATGTACTCCAGGTTACGGTGGTCAGTGCAGATGAGGAAAGGGTGTTTAGCCCTCTCGAGCCAGTGCCTCCACGCTGTCAGTGCTCTGACAACAGCCAACAGCTCCCGATCACCAACGTCATAGTTCTGCTCCGCCGGGCTGAGCTTCTTACAGAAGAAGGAATAGGGGCGTAGCTTGGGTGGCGTGCCCGAGGGTTGGGATAGGACAGCGGGGCTGAGGTGAACAGAGCCCTCAGGGTACTGAAAGCCCTGTCAGCCTCAGCAGACCAGCAGAGCAGGGACGGCCCAACCTTCAACAGAGAGGTGATGGGAGCTGCAACCTTGCCAAAGCCCCGGATAAACCTTCGATAGTAATTGGCAAAGCCAATGAAGCGCTGCACCTCCTTTACCGTGGTCGGAGTCGGCCAATTACGTACGGCTGAAATGCGGTCTCCCTCCACCTCCACACCAGAGGTGGTGATGTGGTATCCGAGGAAGGAGACGGATTGTTGGAAGAACAGACATTTTTCTGCCTTGGCATACAGTTCATGCTCCAACAGTCATGCTCCAACAGTCACCCAAGCACTCTGCGAACCAGGGACACATGCTCGGCGCACGTAACGTAATACACCAGGATGTCATCGATGTAGACCACCACACCGCGACCAAGCATGTCCCGAAACACCTCGTTCACAAAGGACTGGAAGACTGATGGAGCATTCATCAACCCGTACGGCATCACCAGGTTTTCATAATGCCCCGTGGTGGTGCTAAATGCTGTCTTCCATTCGTCTCCTTCCCGGACACGCACCAGGTTGTGCGCACTCCTGAGATCTAATTTCGTGAAGAAGCGCACCCCATGCATTGATTCGATCACAGAGGAAATTAGGGGTAGAGGATAACTATAGCGAATTGAAATGTTATTAAGTGCACGGTAATCAATGCAAGGGTGCAGACCCCCCGTCTTTCTTCTTCACGAAAAAGAAACTTGAGGAGGCAGATGAAGTGGAGGGACGTATGAACCCCTGACTTAGGGACTCGGAGACGTATGATTCCATAGCCTCTGTTTCAGCCTGCGACAGGGGATATACATGACTCCCGAGCGATAGGGTGGTAATTTGGTCGCCTGCATTTTGGAAAAGGCATGCGCCAAATCGAGGTATTCGGGGGGAATGTGCACGGTGGAGGCATTGTCTGGACTTTCCACCGTGGTCACACCAACGGAAACAGCTAGACACCTACCCTGACACTCTCGCGACCACCCCGTGAGAGCCCTCTGTGGCCATGAAAAGGTGGGGTCGTGTGGTGCTAGCCAGGGAAGGCCCAACACAACAGGGAAATCAAGGGACTCAATAATTTGCCTATTATGGGTCTCCTGCGTAATTATAGTGACTGGTGCTGTAACCTCCCTCACAAAACCTGACCCTAATGGTCGATTGTGAAGTGCTTTGACGGGCAATGGAACCAATGTAATACGTAGACTAAGAGCTAAAGACCTGTCCATAAAGTTCCCAGCTGCGCATGAATCTACCAGCGCCTTACACTGGGGAACTACCGTGTAATCAGGTTGACGTGGATGGTTAAATGCGCAGCACAGGGCTCTGAATGCGTGTGGGTTTGTGCTACCTGGGGTGACGCGAGAGTGCCCTGCCTGCCGCCTCCAGAACCAGAAGAACTCTGACGACATCGTGCAGCAGAATGTCCTCTTCTGCCACAAGAGTGACACTGGATCTATCGTCCTCCATTCTCCCGGAATGCTGCACCACCCAGCTCCATCGGAACGTGAGCCGGGGTGAGGGGGGGTGAAACGGGCAGGCCCCTTCCAGGACGTCCTCTCGAAGCCAGCAGGTTGTCCAACCGGATGGCCATGTCTACCAATTGGTCGAAGGTCAGAGTGGTATCCCGGCAGGCTAGCTCCCTTCGCACATCCTCACGCAGGCTGCATCGGAAATGCGGACACCTTCTCCTGATCCGATGGAGCAGGGCTGATGGTATTGAAGTAGAGGTCCAACTGCAGGAGGAAACCCTGGCAGCGGGCAGCTGTCCCGTCGCATTCCCTCGGTAGAGACAGGTGAATACCTCTGGTTGCTGGTGTGTGGGTGGCTGGATCCGGTCGCTCAGCTGGTTCCGCAGGGTCGGATCCTCTCTTCTCCAGGTGCTGGACGGCCTGGAGAACCCGATCCATCGCTTCGCCCAAGCTGCCTAAAATGGTGGAATGCTCCCGGACCCGCTTAATGACTCCATGCTGTTTGAGGTGTGTTATTCTATAACAAGGTGAGTAGGACGGAGCCAGGCGCAGGATGTATGAATCAAAGAATCTGGTTTATTCGGCCAATACAGCAGTCCGCAGCAATGCGGAGGGAGTCGTGACATGAAAAGAAGGCAGTTACTAGAAAACTACCTCAATAGGCTATTTGAAAGGCTGTATTTTGTTGATAAGATGGCAGTTACTAGCAAACTACCTCAATAGGCTATATGAAAGGCTGGAATATGTTGATAAGAAGGCAGTTACTAGCAAACTACCTCAATAGGCTAAATGAAAGGCTGTATTATTTTGATAAGAAGGCAGTTACTAGCAAACTACCTCAATAGGCTATATGAAAGGCTGCATTATGTTGATAAGAAGCTCATTTGATTTGTATAATGTATGCCATAAAGCTAGTCCTCAGATCCTCAAAAGGTTCTACAGCTGCACAATCTAGAGCATCCTGACTGGCTGCATCACCGCCTGGTATGGCAACTGCTCGGCCTCTGACCGTGAGGCGCTACAGAGGGTAGTGCGTACGGCCCAGTACATCACTGGGGCCAAGCTTCCTGCGATCCAGGACCTCTATACCAGGCGGTGTCAGAGGAAGGCCCTAAAAATTGTCAAAGACTCCAGCAACCCTAGTCATAGACTGTTCTCTCTGCTATCGCACGGCAAGCAGTAACGGAGCGCCAAGTCTAGGTCCAAAAGGCTTCTTAACAGCTTCTACCCCCAAGCCATAAGACTCCTGAACAGCTAATCAAATGGCTACCCGGACTATTTGCATTATCCCCCCCCACCCCCTCTTTTACGCTGCTGCTACTCTCTGTTCATTATCTATGCATAGTCACTTTAACTCTACCTACATATACATTACCAGTCAAAGGTTTGGACACACCTACACATTCAAGGGTTTTTCTTTATTTTTACAATTTTTTACATTGTAGAATAATAGTGAAGACATCAAAACTATGAAATAACACATATGGTATCATGTAGTAGCCAAAAAAGTGTTAAACAAATCAAAATATATTTTCTATTTGAGATTCTTCAAATAGCCACCTGTCACGGATTCAGCCGAGGCTGCCCCCCCTCCTTGCTCGGGCAGGCTTCGGCGTTCGTCGTCACCGGAGTACTAGCTGCTGCTGATCTATGTTCTATGTTTCTATGTTGCACCTGTTGTCTGATTGTTACACACCTTGTTGCCCATTATGTGATTACTCCTTCCCTATTTAACCCAGAGGCTCCCAATGTGTTTTGTGCGTGGTTGTTTTTCGTTTTCGTGTGTCGTTGGTGAGCGGGTTAGTTCCTCCCTGTGTGGAGATATTTCTGTATTGTTTTCTTTACTCATTTCTCAGTAAAGTACGTTTCTTCGAGTTCTGTGTCCTGCGCCTGACTTCGACCCACCGCATTACACTGACACTCGTGACACCACCCTTTGCCTTGATGACAGCTTTGCACACTCTTGGCATTCTCTCAACCAACTTCATGAGGTAGTCACCTGGAATGCATTTCAATTAACAGGTGTGCCTTGTTCAAAGTTAATTTGTGGAATTTCTTTCCTTCTTAATGCGTTTGAGCCAATCAGTTGTGTTGTGACAAGTTAGGGGGGTATACAGAAGATAGCCCTATTTGGTAAAAGACCAAGTCCATATTATGGCAAGAACAGCTCAAATAAGCAAAGAGAAACAACAGTCCATCATTACTTTAAGACATGAAGGTCAGTCAATAAGGAACATTTCAAGAACTTTGAAAGTTTCTTCAAGTGCAGTCGCAAAAACCATCAAGCGCTATGATGAAACTGGCTCTCATGAGGACCGCCACAGGAATGGAAGACCCAGAGTTACCTCTGCTGCAGAGGATAAGTTCATTAGAGTTACCAGCCTCAGAAATTGCAGCCCAAATAAATGCTTCACAGAATTCAAGTAACAGACACATCTCAACATCAACTGTTCAGAGGAGACTGCGTGAATCAGGCCTTCATGGTCGAATTGCTGCAAAGAAACCACTACTAAAGGACACCAATAAGAAGAAGAGACTTGCTTGGGCCAAGAAACACGAGCAATGGACATTAGACCGGTGGAAATTTGTCCTTTGGTCTGGAGTCCAAATTTGAGATTTTTGGTTCCAACTGCCATGGCTTTGTGAGACACGGTGTGGGTCAACGGATGATCTCCACATGTGTATTTCCCACCGTAAAGCATGGAGGAGGAGGTGTTATGGTGTGGGGGTACTTTGCTGGTGACACTGTCAGTGATTTATTTAGAATACAAGGCTTAACCAGCATGGCTACCACAGCATTTCTGCAGCGATACGCCATCCCATCTGGTTTGGGCTTAGTGGGACTATCATTTGTTTTTCAACAGGACAATGACCCAACACACCTCCAGGCTGTGTAAGGGCTATTTGACCAAGAAGGAGAGTGATGGAGTGCTGCATCAGATGACCTGGCCTCCACAATCACCCGACCTCAACCGAATTGAGATAGTTTGGGATGAGTCGAATGGCAGAGTGAAGGAAAAGCAGCCAACAAGTGCTCAGCATTTGTGGGAACTCCTTCAAGACTGTTGGAAAAGCATTCCAGGTGAAGCTGGTTGAGAGAATGCCAAGAGTGTGCAAAGCTGTCATCAAGGCAAAGGGCCGGCTATTTGAAGAATCTCAAATAGAAAATATATTTTGATTTGTTTAACACTTTTTTGGTTACTACATGATTCCATATGTGTTATTTCATAGTTTTGATGTCTTCACTATTATTCTACAATGTAAACAAATAGTAAAAAAATAAAAAAAATAAACCTGGAATGAGTTGGTGTGTCCAAACCTTTGACTGGTACTGTATATATTACCTCAATTACCTCGACTAACTGGTGCCCCCGCACATTGACTCTGTACCGGTACCCCACTGTATATAGCCCCCCTAGTGTTATTTTACTGCTGCTCTTTAATTATAAACTTTGTTATTTTAGTAAAAAAAAGTTGTACTTATCTATTTTTTACTTAACACTTATTTTTCTTAAAACTGCATTGTTGGTTAAGGGCTTGTAAGTAAGCATTTCACTGTAAGGTCTACACCTGTTGTATTCGGTGCATGTGACAAATAACATTTTATTTTATTTTATTAGAATACTTTAATGGTGAAACTGCCACGTCCGTTTGTGGTATAACAACTACAAAGAAAGTTACTTCAAACAACCAACGCTGTGTTTTCCCCCCCTCAGACATCATTGCATCATGGGACATGTTTTTCTTTCACCACGTTGCACGACGCTCCTCACCTCCTCACCTCCTCACGCTCCTCACCCCCTCCTCACCTCCTCACCTCCTCACCTCCTCACCTCCTCACGCTCCTCACCTCCTCACCTCCTCACGCTCCTCACCTCCTCACCTCCTCACCTCCTCACGCTCCTCACCTCCTCACGCTCCTCACCTCCTCACCTCCTCACCTCCTCACGCTCCTCACCTCCTCACCTCCTCACGCTCCTCACCTCCTCACCTCCTCACGCTCCTCACCTCCTCACCTCCTCACGCTCCTCACCTCCTCACCTCCTCACGCTCCTCACCTCCTCACCTCCTCACCTCCTCACGCTCCTCACCTCCTCACCTCCTCACCTCCTCACGCTCCTCACCTCCTCACCTCCTCACACTCCTCACCTCCTCACCTCCTCACCTCCTCACCTCCGCTTGGTCAACAAAACAATAACAAAAACAACCACAGTGGCGCAGCGTCCATCTTTAATCGATCTGAAATGTTCTCCTCATTCCTCAGATCAATATTCCCTTTTCTGTGTGAGCAATGGCCAGGTCGGAGACTATTCCTCTGGAGGAGGAGATGGTGAGCATCCTGGACCAATGCGGGCCAGCTCTGACATATGTCCTGCAAAGCAAGTTCGGATGTACTGCTGTGCTCCATGGTGTTGATGCCGGTGCAGGTGCAAGGAAGTTCAAGATGCCAGGTGAGGAAAGGTTTTCTGCCCAGCTGTCAAAGGGCCTCAAAGTATCAGTATGGAAAGATGACTTTACCACTCATAAAGCAGATGCTGTGGTCAATTCTGCCAATGTGAATCTCCACCATGCGGGAGGTCTCGCCAGGGCGCTGTGTGATGCCGGCCGGCCGGATATCCAGCGAGAGAGTGACCAGTACACAAAGCTTTTACCATCGTTGCCGAACCTGGACGCTTACCGTGCAAGAAGATCATTCATGCTGTGGGTCCATGCTTTCCATACAAACCAATGCAATATCATATTGATGATGCTGTGCCAGAACTCACAAAGACTGCAATGAGCATTCTAAAGATGGTTAAATCAAGAGAAGCTGCAGTCTGTGGCCATCAGTTCTGGCCTGTTCAACTTTCCCTTGCCTCTCTGTGCAGACGTCATTGTTAAAACACTGAGAGTTGTTAAAACAAGGATACCATGATCGGGATTATTAGTATTTCTTAAAGTATTTCTTACAGTATTTCCTACAGTATTTCTTACAGTATTTCTTACAGTATTTCTTACAGTATTTCTTACAGTGTTTCTTAGTGTTTCTTACAGTATTTAGAATTCAATTATTCTTCTATGTCTCATCTTTAAGGATTTAAGCATGCAACGGTCCATTCCGACTCCAGAGATGCAAGGAAAAGTATTCAACCGTTTATCAAGCTCTGCAGTGCCTATCATGAGACATTGAGGGAGGCCAGACGCTGGTATTTTGATGTTTTGAACCCTGCCTCGAAGAACATAATCACCATTCACAACAATTTCATCCAGCACTTTGGCCAGAGGGAGTTTGAAGAGCTTCTTTCTCTTCAGACCAAGAGGGAAGTTTCCATCGAGGAGAACTTTAAAGATGGCCGCTTTGGAGTGACCATCAAGGGGGCTTCTAGATGGTTAAAAGCTGCTGTGTTAGAGGTGGAAGCCCTGTGCTGCAAAGTCCAAGAGGATTTTGCAAAAGAAGAGTTGAGTTTCATGGGCACGCAATCTCCCACCAGTTCCCCAAGGAAGCCTGTAGATGACAACAGTTCTGACTATAAAGAAAGACAACAACATTTTCCCGGGCTTCAAATTGTCAGGGTGAGTGTCACAAGAAACAACAAATAACATTAAAGGTGCAATCTGTGATATTTACTGCCTGATAATTCATCAAATATGTCCATGGCTGATGCGTTACAGGTTGAGAAGGTGGAGAACAAAGCTCTGAAGCAGGTCTTTGACCTCATGAAGAGGCAGTTGCAGGTGTCTAGCTCTTCTCAGCGAATGTACCAGCGCTTGCCTGCGCAATTCTGTGACCTGCTCAGCAGAGTGGGCTTTCAGATGGAGTTTGCACCACCTGACGGTAAGAGTGTTTCAGATGGAGTTTGCACCACCTGACGGTAAGAGAGATTCAGATGGAGTTTGCACCACCTGATGGTAAGAGAGATTCAGATGGAGTTTGCACCACCTGACGGTAAGAGAGATTCAGATGGAGTTTGCACCACCTGACGGTAAGAGAGATTCAGATGGAGTTTGCACCACCTGACGGTAAGAGAGATTCAGATGGAGTTTGCACCACCTGACGGTAAGAGAGATTCAGATGGAGTTTACACCACCTGACGGTAAGAGAGATTCAGATGGAGTTTGCACCACCTGACGGTAAGAGAGATTCAGATGGAGTTTACACCACCTGATGGTAAGAGAGATTCAGATGGAGTTTACACCACCTGACGGTAAGAGAGATTCAGATGGAGTTTGCACCACCTGATGGTAAGAGAGATTCAGATGGAGTTTGCACCACCTGATGGTAAGAGAGATTCAGAGTTTGCACCAGTGGTGGAAAAAGTGCCCAATTTTCATACTTGAGTAAAAGTAAAGATACTTAATAAAAAATGACTCAAGTAAAAGTCAGTCACCCAGTAAAATACTACTTGAGTTAATGTCTAAAAGTATTTGGTTTTAATTATACTTAAGTATCAAAAGTAAATGTAAAAGTACAAATCATTTCAAATTCCTTATAATAAGCAAACCAGATGGCGCCACTTTCTTGTTTTTGTTATTTACGGAAAGCCAGGGGCACACTCCAACGCTCAAACATAATTTACAAATGAAGCATGTGTGTTTAGTGAGTCCGCCAGATCAGAGGCAATAAGGATGACCAGGGATGTTCTATTGATAAGTGCCTGACTTGGACCCTTTTCCTGTCCTGCTAAGCATTCAAAATGTACCGAGTACTTTTGGGTGTCAGGAAAAATGTATGGAGTAAAACGTACATTATTGTCTTTAGAAATGTAGTGAAGGATATTGTCACGGATTCAGCCGAGGCTGCTCCTCCTCCTTGCTCGGGCAGGCTTCGGCGTACGTCGTCGCCTTGAGTACTAGCTGCTACCGATCTATGTTTCTGTGTTCTACTTGTCTTGTCTTTATTGTTCACACCTGGTTCCCATTATGTATTGATTACTTCCCTATTTAACCCTCTGGCTCCCACTGAATTTTGTGCGTGTTTGTTCTTGTTTGGTTGTCGTCTGGTGAGCGGGTTTGTTTCCTCCCTGCGTGGAGGTTATGTTATTTACGTTACCTATTAGTAAAGTACGTTTTCGATTAGCTCTGTGTCCTGCGCCTGACTTCGTCCTACCGCATCACACTGACACCCTGACAGAAACACGCACCTTAAATGGAGTCAGCAGGTACATTCATTTGGTCCGGATCAATGGAGGAACGTGTCCAACAGCAGGCGACCATGATCCAGACTCTCGGCACCGCAATAGAGCGTGTGTTGAACACTATGAAGCGATGGGAGAGAGATGGTTATCCTACACCTCCTCCAACTACACAACCACCCACACCGCTGTCCACCCCTTCGTCACCTGGGTCCAGTGGGATTCGGCTCTCGCTCCCGAGGGCATACGATGGTACAGCTGCCGGGTGCCAGGGTTTTCTGCTCCAGGTTGAGCTCTACCTGGCTACCATCCACATGGCTCTCTCCGGATACGAGAGCGTGTCCGCCCTCATCTCCTGTCTGTCGGGAAGAGCGCTCGAGTGGGCCAACGCAGACTGGGGAGGAATAGACGCAGCGTCAGTACGCTATGAAGATTTCACCCGCCGCTTTCGGGCGGTATTCAATCATCCACCGGAGGGGAGAGCGGGGGAACGTCTATTCCACCTCAGACAGGGGAAGAGGAGCGCACAGGACTTTGCACTGGACTTCAGGACTTTGGCTGCCAGCGGAGGATGGAATGAGAAGGCCCTGATCGACCACTACCGATGCAGCCTACGGGAGGACGTTCGTTGGGAACTGGCCTGCAGGGACACCACCCTTAACCTGGACCAACTGGTGGACATGTCGATAAGGCTGGATAACCTGTTGGCAACCCGCAGATGTCTGGATCAGGGGCCGTCCATTCCATCCCCCAGCACCTCCGACCCTACCCCTATGGAGCTCGGAGGTGCTGCGCTTAGGGAGACTGGAAGAAGGGCCATCTCCTGCACCAACTGTGGCCGCGGAGGACACACTGCTGGTCGGTGCTGGGGAGGGTCTTTAAGGAGTCGAGGCAGTAGCCAGAGCACTGGTGGACCGTCTCAGGTGAGTAGGCCCCCGACTCACCCAGAGCTCCCTGTTGCGCATATGTGTATTGATATTGTATTTCCAGAGTTTTCCCCTCATTCCCAGCATAAGGCGCTCGTAGATTCAGGCGCAGCTGGGAACTTTATTGATCGTCAGTTTTCCCATAGTTGCGGATTCCTATTGTTCCTGTTGATGTGCCCTTCCCTGTACATGCCTTAGATAGTCGCCCTTTAGGGTCAGGCCTGATTAGGGCGGTCACAGCTCCACTCTGGATGAAGAGGCAGGAGGGTCATGAGGAGAAAATTAGTCTCTATCTGATTGATTCTCCTGCGTTCCAGTGGTGTTGGGGCTTCCCTGGTTAACTTCTCATGACCCCACGATTTCATGGCAACAGAGGGCTCTCAAGGGATGGTCAAGTCAGTGCTCGGGGAGGTGTGTAGGTATTTCCATAGGTGCAACTACGGTGGAAAGTCCAAACCATGTCTCCACCATGCACATTCCCCCCGAATATGCCGATTTGTCTCTCGTCTTCTGTAAAAAGAAGGCGACTCAATTACCACCCCATCGACAGGGGGATTGTGCGATAAATCTCCAGGTAGGTGCTGCACTTCCCCGGAGTCATGTGTATCCCCTGTCACAGGAAGAGACAGCGGCTATGGAGACATATGTCTCCGAATCTCTGGGGCAGGGATACATTCGGCCATCCACTTCATCTGTCTCCTCAAATTTCTTTTTTGTGAAGAAGAAGGATGGAGGTTTACGCCCGTGCATTGACTACGGGGGTCTCAATCAGATCACTGTCAAGTACAGTTATCCACTACCGCTCATTGCTAGTATGACGGAGTCATTGCACGGGGCGCGCTTCTTCGCAAAATTGGATCTCAGGAGCGCGTACAACCTGGTGCATATCAGGAGGGAGATGAGTGGAAGACGGCATTTAGTACCACATCTGGGCACTATGAGTACCTCGTCAAGCCGTATGGGTTGATGAACGCTCCATCAGTCTTCCAATCCTTTGTAGATGAGATTTTCAGGGACCTGCATGGACAGGGTGTAGTGGTGTATATAGATGATATTCTCATATACTCCGCTACACGAGCCGAGCATGTGTCCCTGGTGCGCAAGGTGCTTGGTCGACTATTGGAACATGACCTGTACGTCAAGGCGGAGAAATGTCTGTTCTTTCAAAAGTCTGTCTCCTTCCTAGGGCACCGCCTGTCTGCATCAGGGGTGGAGATGGAGATTGACCGCATTTCGGCCGTGCGTAATTGGCCGACTCCAACCACGGTTAAGGAGGTGCAGCGATTTTTAGGGTTTGCCAACTACTACCGGAGGTTTATCCGGGGCTTTGGTCAGGTAGCGGCTCCCATTACCTCCTTGCTGAAGGGCAGACCGGTGCGCCTGCAGTGGTCAGCCGAGGCGGACAGGGCGTTTGGTCACCTGAAGGAACTGTTTACCTCGGCTCCGGTGCTGGCTCATCCGGATCCCTCCTTAGCATTCACAGTAGAGGTGGACGCGTCCGAGGCTGGGATAGGAGCTCTACTGTGTCAGCGCTCGGGTACGCCACCAAAACTCTGCCCCTGTGCTTTCTTTTCGAAGAAGCTCAGCCCGGCGGAGCGCAACTATGATGTGGGGGACCGGGAGCTGTTAGCTGTGGTTAAAGCTCTGAAAGTGTGGAGGCATTGGCTTGAGGGGGCTAAACACCCTTTTCTCATTTTGACTGACCACCGCAATCTGGCGTACATCCGGGCGGCGAGGAGATTGAACCCTCGCCAGGCAAGGTGGGCCATGTTTTTCACTCGTTTTGTGTTCACACTTTCTTACAGACCAGGTTCCCAGAACGCTAAGGCAGACGCCCTGTCCCGACTGTATGACACAGAGGAGAGGTCCATTGAGCCCACTCCCATACTTCCGGCGTCATGTCTGGTGGCACCGGTGGTGTGGGAGCTTGACGTGGACGTCGAGCGGGCGTTACGTACAGAGCCCAGTCCCCCCCCCCCCCAGTGTCCAGAGGGTTGTATGTACGTGCCGTTAGAGGTCCGCGATCGATTGATCTATTGGGCTCACACGTCACCCTCCTCTGGTCATCCTGGCATCGGTCGGACAGTGCACTGTCTTAGTGGGAAATACTGGTGGCCCACTTTAGCCAAGGACGTGAGGGTTTATGTTTCCTCCTGCTCGGTGTGCGCCCAGTGTAAGGCAGCTAGACACCTGCCCAGAGGGAAATTACAACCCCTACCCCGTTCCACAATCCTATCGGTGGATTTCGATACGGACCTTCCACCGTCACAAGGGAACACCACGATCCTGGTCGTTGTGGATCGGTTTTCTATGTCTTGCCGTCTCATTCCTATGCCCGGTCTCCCTACGGCCCTACAGACTGCGGAGGCCCTATTTACACACGTCTTCCGGCACTACGGGGTACCTGAGGATATTGTATCTGATCGGGGTCCCCAGTTCACCTCAAGGGTCTGGAGGGCGTTCATGGAACGTCTGGGGATCTCGGTCAGCCTGACCTCAGGTTTTCACCCCGAGAGTAATGGGCAGGTGGAAAGAGTAAACCAGGATGTGGGTAGGTTTCTGCGGTCCTATTGCCAGGACCGGCCGGGGGAGTGGTCGGTTTTCATCCCCTGGGCAGAGATGGCCCAAAACTCACTCCGCCACTCCTCCACTAACCTGTCTCCGTTTCAGTGTGTATTAGGTTATCAGCCGGTCCTGGCACCATGGTATCAGAGCCAGATCGAGGCACCTGCGGTGGATGAATGGTTTCGGCGCTCGGAGACCTGGAACGCTGCCCATGTACGCTTGCAACGGGCCATCAGGCGACAAAAGGCGAGCGCCAACCGCCACCGCAGTGAGGCCCCGGTGTATGCACCGGGGGACCGGGTCTGGCTCTCGACCCGAAACCTGCCCCTTCACCTGCCCTGCCGGAAGCTGGGTCGGCGGTTTGTGGGGCCATTTAAAGTCCTGAGGAGATTGAACATGGTTTGTTATAGGTTACAGCTTCCTCCTGAGTATCGTATTAACCCCTCGTTCCATGTGTCTCTCCTCAGGCCGGTGGTAGCTGGTCCACTCCAGGAGTCTGAGGTACGGGAGGTTCCTCCGCCCCCACTGGACATCGAGGGGGCACCGGCGTACTCGGTCCGTTCCATCCTGGATTCGAGGCGTCGGGTGGGGGGCCTGCAGTATCTCGTGGAGTGGGAGGGGTACGGTCCGGAGGAACGGTGCTGGGTCCCTAGGAGGGACATCCTCGATCCCTCCATGTTGAGGGATTTCCACCGTCGTCATCCGACTCGCCCTGCGCCGCATCCTCCTGGCCGTCCCCGAGGCCGGTGTCGGCGCATGGCTGGACCGTGCGTCGGCGGGGGGGGGGGGGGGGGGGGTGGGGGGGGGGGGGGGGGTACTGTCACGGATTCAGCCGAGGCTGCTCCTCCTCCTTGCTCGGGCAGGCTTCGGCGTTCGTCGTCGCCGGAGTACTAGCTGCTACCGATCTATGTTTCTGTGTTCTACTTGTCTTGTCTTTATTGTTCACACCTGGTTCCCATTATGTATTGATTACTTCCCTATTTAACCGTCTGGCTCCCACTGTATTTTGTGCATGTTTGTTCTTGTTTGGTTGTCGTCTGGTGAGCGGGTTTGATTCCTCCCTGCGTGGAGGTTATGTTATTTACGTTACCTACGAGTAAATTACGTTTTCGATTAGCTCTGTGTTCTGCGCCTGACTTCGTCCTACCGAATAACACTGACACCCTGACAGATATTTATGGCTGATTTAAGATGATGACCTCAACCATGTTACTTTAATGGCACTTTAGTTGTTTTATTATTTAAAAACTTTGAGATGGGAAAACATGTTTTTTATGAAGTTGAGCATGTGCTTTTTATGACAGAATGTTAAAATTAGTTGAAATTAATGGTTACGCTAGCCAACATTTACTCTATCCGTGGAACTACCGAAATCACAATATGCAGGTTGGCAACTTTCACAAGTCGTTTTCAATCAAAGCACATACCTATTCCTGGTGTGTAGCTAAAATAACACACAACCATCACAAAACGGTTTTATGTTGCAATGGAGTCCACTTTCTCTTACATTGTATTACAATAGTGCAATAATATGTTTCATCCACAGAGCCAAAGCTTGGAGAGGGGATCTACTTCAGTGGCAGCGTGCATGGGGCAGAGAGACTGTGGAAGGGCTCACCTGACGAGGAGTACCTGTACTTCATTGAGGCACAGGTGCTGACTGGCAAGTCAACTGTTGGCTGTCCTGGTCTCATTGTGCCACCTCCCTTTTCCAGAGACCCACTAACCCTGTATCATAGTGTGAAAGGAGGCAAAGACACCTGGGTCATCTTCAATGGTCACCAGGCTCTACCTGAATATCTGATCACCTGCAAAAAGCCTACATACGTAAAACCTCACGGTAAGAGGGAGAGACTGATTCTATATGACATTCTATAGAATACCCTATTAGAATATAGAAATATATTTATTTCATAAACACAATGTTTTGTGTCCCATGTTCACACAGCATTGTTCAACTGGGGCATCGCTAACAAGCCACAAAAGAATGAGGACTTTGTCATCGAGGACCGGCAAGTGGATCCGGCTGTCTTCCACATTTTTTCCAGAGTGGGTCAAGTAAATCGTCTGATCAAGGACCTGACCCTAAAAGATCCAGACAGGAATATTAAAGTGACCAGCAACATGGTGGATTGGCAGTATCAGCAGCAGCCAGGGAGGCAGTTCCAGAGCTTCCACGGCAGCCAGGGGGGCAGTACCAGAGCTTCCACGGAAGCCAGGGGGGCAGTACCTGAGCTTCCACGGCAGCCAGGGGGGCAGTACCAGAGCTTCCACGGCAGCCAGGGGGGCAGTACCAGAGCTTCCACGGCAGCCAGGGGGGCAGTACCAGAGCTTCCACGGCAGCCAGGGGGGCAGTACCAGAGCTTCCACGGCAGCCAGGGGGGCAGTACCAGAGCTTCCACGGCAGCCAGGGGGGCAGTACCAGAGCTTCCACGGAAGCCAGGGGGGCAGTACCAGAGCTTCCACGCAGCCAGGGGGCAGTACCAGAGCTTCCACGGCAGCCAGGGGGGCAGTACCAGAGCTTCCATGGCAGCCAGGGGGGCAGTCCCAGAGCTTCCGCCACATCCTTAACATCCATCTGCAGCAGGCGCTGGAGAGGAAGCAGCCCCGTGTGGAGGTCTCTGTCCGGGGGCAAATGCACAAGGTCATCCTGCCTGACGGGGCTGCTTCCAACACCTGTGGAAACAGACTAAAAAGCAGATGCATCGACCAGTTAGCAGGTACTCAAAACAGAGTTAATTTGTTATTTTAACCTTAATTAACAAGGGGATAAGCAGAGTTCAAGTTCAACATGTCCATTAGCCGGAAGTCTGTTAGCAACTAGGGAGTTTTCCCTAGCCACCGTGCTTCTACATCTGCATTGCTTGCTGTTTGGGGTTTTAGGCTGGGTTTCTGTATAGCACTTTGTGACATCTGCTGATGTAAAAAGGGCGTTATAAATAAAATGTGTTTGATTGATTGCTTGACTATCATATCCTGTATACAGCTACACATGCCCAGCTAGTGTTAGCATGATGGCTAAGTGTGACGTGGTTTCTTATGGGGAAATGCTAACTGTTCACCATCTTAGTGATAACCGTGTTTGCTCTAGGTCAACCCATTGAGAGTCTCCCTCAGCATTGGGACGCCGTGCCAGCCAACACCTCCTGCCTGTCCTGCCTCATCCAGACAGGAAGCCCAGAGCACAATGAAGTCTTAAACCTGTTCCGAGCCACCTGCCCCAACAACGTTATAAAGGTAGGCTACCTGTTTTCCAAAAGATACTTCCCATTGTAGTTATTTTTATGTCTTCGGATGTTCTGGACGTTCTCTGCATGGGTGTGTGTCTAATGGGCTGATTAGTTTAGACTCAGCTGTTGGTCTCTAGGTTTCTGACTAGGTTCCTGCCTTTCTGGGGAGTTTTTTTTCCTAGCCAGCGTGCTTCTACATCTGCATTGCTTACTGTTTGGGTTTTCAGGCTGGGTTTCTGTATAAGCACTTTGTGACACCTGCTGATGTAAAAAAAAGGGCTTTATAAATACATTTGATTTGAATTTGATTTGAGATCAGCCATTTTAAATGGTTTGTTTATTAGAGGCTTTGTGTGTTAGTTTTAGATAAGATGACCCCTAGCTGACCCCTAGTTGACCCCTAGCTGAGCTGCGGTGCCTTGAAATAATGATGAGGCACCGCAGCTCAGCTAGGTGTCAGCTAGGGGTCAGCTAGCCAGATATTTGTTTGTCTGGATCTTTTTCAGCTCACAATAATAATCTAAGATGTATGAAAGGTATTCAGGATACATTTTAGATTCTATTAATTACTCCTATAAAGTATTTTCCCTCAATTTATTTCAGTTTGAGAGGATCCAGAACCCATAGTGTGAAAAGAGTACTTCGATTAGTGTCGGTCTAGCCCGTTAGTGTGTGTGTGTGTGTGTGTGTTCTCAGATTGAGAGGATCCAGAACCCCACCCTGTGGAGGACTCTCCAGATCAAGAAGCTGGACATGGAGCTCAGGAACGGTCACCAGAAGAATGAGAAGAGGCTCTTCCATGGAACATGCCACACAACCATCGATCACATTAACAACCATGGCTTCAATCGGAGCTACGCTGGGAAAAACGGTAAGATAGATACGTATGTTCCATGGACAAGTCGCCTGGTCCCAGATTTTTTTTACTGTCCTGCCAACTCCTATGGTTATTGGTAAAAAGTTATATGTAATATTCTGTTTTTCTTGATTTTAAGAAATCGTATACTTAGCCTGTGCTTGACATTTACTCAGTCTTGTCTCTGCAATAGTCTAAAACCTAAGCAATGTATAATTTTTGTTCAGCTGCAGCATATGGAAATGGAACATACTTTGCTGTTGGTGCCAGCTACTCAGCCAGTAACACATACTCAAGACCGGATCCCAAAGGGCAGAAGTATATGTACCTATGTCGGGTTCTGACTGGAGATTTCACAGCAGGACGACATGGGATGAAAGTGCCTCCAACTAAAAGCACTACAACTGTTGAACTCTACAACAGCGTGACAGACAACCTATTAGGGCCATCTATGTTTGTCATTTTCCATGACAATCAGGCATATCCTGAGTACTTGATCACTTTCTTCTAGACCCTGCAGAGAAAAGCAATGTTTACTGAGTAAACTGTCAAAAGGCTTTCTTATGATCAGGACTATCTGCCTTATAAATTGTTATTACTGATGTCACTTTTGCATGGAAAACACCTAATCTGAATAGTGTAACCATTACAGGTTATAATGTAACCCGTTTCAATCTAACCCTAGCCTGAACCCTAACCCTAACCCTAACCCTAACCTGAACCCTAACCCTAATCCTAACCCTGACATGAACCACAACCCTAACCCTAACCTGAACCACAACCACAACCCTAACCTGAACCACAACCCTAACCCTAACCTGAACCACAACCACAACCCTAACCCTAGCCTGAACCACAACCACAACCCTAACCCTAACCTGAACCACAACCCTAACCCTAACCTGAACCACAACCCTAACCCTAACCCTAACCTGAACCACAACCCTAACCTTAATTTAATGTCTACGGCCCACTTCAACCATAACCCTTATCCAAACCACATCCAACCCTATTCCTGCAGCCTTACCCTACCCCACCCTACCCTATCCTAACTTGGTGTGATAAAAAAAACATTTATTCTGAACTCACCTGACTGCAGAGAAAGAGAGCGAGCGAGCGAAAGCAAGTGAGAGAGAGAGAGAGAGAGGTGGTCTTATAATGGTGTATTGAATTAAATAAGCTACAATTAAAGCTAATTCTTCTGTATACATTTATGAAAGTAAATAAATATGTAGTTTGTTTGCATAATTTCAATGTCTACATCCTCCCTAACAATCCATGGCTCTAGCAAAATCCTAGTAGAGTCTGTGCAGGGCAGGATTTTGTTCCAGCACAGCACTAAAATACACTATCCAGCTAATTTTTATGTTCTCAAATTTGATGTTTTGGGGCCTCTAGGGCAATTCAGAAAGCTGATTGAGGACCTTATTACTGATGAATGTGTTTGTTTTTTTATGAGCGTGTTTTTCTGATGCGTTTATTTTCCGTAATTTATGTAATTCAGGGCTCATCTGTAAAAGAGACCTTGGGCTCAGTATGACTCCCTGATAAAATAAAGGTTAAATAAAAATAATCATGGTCTTGATGATGATTGGTTGGTTTTTTGAATCAGGTGTGTTAGTGCTGGTATCAGTGCTTGACTTGAGGAGTTCCTGCACCTCTTATAGAATATTAACTCAACAGTATTGAGGAGTTCCTGCACCTCTTATAGAATATTAGCTCAACAGTATTGAGGAGTTCCGGCACCTCTTATAGAATATTAGCTCAACAGTATTGAGGAGTTCCTGCACCTCTTATAGAATATTAGCTCAACAGTATTGAGGAGTTCCTGCACCTCTTATAGAATATTAACTCAACAGTATTGAGGAGTTCCGGCACCTCTTATAGAATATTAACTCAACAGTATTGAGGAGTTCCGGCACCTCTTATAGAATATTAGCTCAACAGTATTGAGGAGTTCCTGCACCTCTTATAGAATATTAGCTCAACAGTATTGAGGAGTTCCTGCCCCTCTTATAGAATATTAGCTCAACAGTATTGAGGAGTTCCTGCACCTCTTATAGAATATTAACTCAACAGTATTGAGGAGTTGCTGCACCTCTTATAGAATATTAGCTCAACAGTATTGAGGAGTTCCGGCACCTCTTATAGAATATTAGCTCAACAGTATTGAGGAGTTCCGGCACCTCTTATAGAATATTAACTCAACAGTATTGAGGAGTTCCTGCACCTCTTATAGAATATTAACTCAACAGTATTGAGGAGTTCCTGCACCTCTTATAGAATATTAACTCAACAGTATTGAGGAGTTCCGGCATACAACATGAGTACCGGCACCTATTTCAGTCCAAGTCAAGCATTGGCTAGTATGGAACTAAACCCTGCACCCCCTGCCCTGGTAACTCTACAGCTGCAGAGGTTGTAGTTGCTATGTAAATCCACATGGGGGAGACAGTGGTTTGTGTTGACGTGGCTCTCACAGTCCAAACTGCCATAAGGAGACGTTGCCGATGAGTGAGAAGAATGATAGTATCTAAGAGTTTGTTTATCTTTTGCCACAAAAATACACAACCCTGTTGTTCATCAAAGAGGCAGTTGGGACTGAGGCACTAACTCTGGTCAACAGTAGATTACTAGGACGCACATTGAGAGACTAAGGGGACTTTTCCAATCCATATTTATAGCCCAACTAGCCAAAACCTAAAACAGACCCTCACTTGAACACTAACCTTAACCAAAACCCTTAACCAAACCCCTAACCCTTAGTCCCAAATGCACCCTATCACTAGCGGAAATTTGACACAAGATTAACACGTTCTGTTTTCAATTCTGACATGGCATGTCAAATTGCTTGATAACCAGGTTTCTATACATTTGAAATGTATTCAGGAACTAAAACGGGCTTTAAAGGTGTTTGAAACGGTAAAGCTATTTCAGAGTGCATTTTAAAGAGGAACAACTGCACATTTCTGAAATGGTTTAAGTATCTGAACTTCTCCGATTTAGCATTGAACTGTTTGTCAAAGTGTGCAACTCTCTCACTCAGGGAGAGTGGGTTAGCTAGAGCGAGAGGGGTTATGTCCCTGTCCCCCTCACTGCCCCTCACTGCCCCTCACTGCCCCTCACTGCCCCTCACTGCCCCTCACTGCCCCTCACTGCCCCTCACTGCCCCTCACTGCCCCTCACTGCCCCTCACTGCCCCTCACTGCCCCTCACTGCCCCTCACTGCCCCTCACTGCCCCTCACTGCCCCTCACTGCCCCTCACTGCCCCTCACTGCCCCTCACTGCCCCTCACTGCCCCTCACCACTGCCCCCTCACTGCCTCTCACTGCCCACTCACTGCCCCTCACTGCCCCTCACTGCCCCTCTATGCAGCGCTAGATAGAACTTTGTGGAATACAGCAAATCAAACAAAAAAATAAACATTCTGTCACAGCGAACATGCTAAATTCGGGAAGCCCAATCAATTGTGAGATATAACATATACATTGTATGTGATACATTTTGGTCACGTGTTCACAATTTGGCCTTTTCTGAGATCTCTGCCAAGCAACGAGGAGGAAACAGGCTTGCTGCGCACTCGTGGGGTATTAAGCCCTGAATGATGCTTGACAGGCAGTGCTGTCTCCCAGGCTGTGTGCCGCCCACAAGACCACAGCCAATCGCATGCAAGGAACAACGCCGCTAACTTGGCTAGACAAGCCAACTAGACTAGTGTTGTTTCTTTCATGCGATTGGCTGTGGTCTACCACAGGGCCTTATCCCCTGAACAGGGCACTAGTCTACCACAGGGCCTTATCCCCTGAACAGGACACTAGTCTACCACAGGGCCTTATCCCCTGAACAGGGCACTAGTCTACCACAGGGCCTTATCCCCTGAACAGGACACTAGTCTACCACAGGGCCTTATCCCCTGAACAGGACACTAGTGTACCACAGGGCCTTATCCCCTGAACAGGACACTAGTCTACCACAGGGCCTTATCCCCTGAACAGGACACTAGTCTACCACAGGGCCTTATCCCCTGAACAGGACACTAGTCTACCACAGGGCTTTATCCCCTGAACAAGGCACTAGTCTACCACAGGGCCTTATCCCCTGAACAGGACACTAGTCTACCACAGGGCCTTATCCCCTGAACAGGCACTAGTCTACCTACAGGGCCTTATCCCCTGAACAGGACACTAGTCTACCACAGGGCCTTATCCCCTGAACAGGACACTAGTCTACCAACAGGGCCTTATCCCCCTGAACAGGACACTAGTCTACCACAGGGCCTTATCCCCTGAACAGGACACTAGTCTACCACAGGGCCTTATCCCCTGAACAGGACACTAGTCTACCACAGGGCCTTATCCCCTGAACAGGACACTAGTCTACCACAGGGCCTTATCCCCTGAACAGGACACTAATCTACCAAAAGGTACCCTTCTTTGCGAGGCATTGGAAAACCTCCCTGGTCTTTGTGGTTGAATCTGTACTTGAAATGCACTGTTCTACTGTGGGACCTTACAGATAATTGTATGTGTGGAGTACAGAGATGGGGTAGTCAATAAAAAATTATGTTAAACACTGTTATTGTCCTACACATCCGTTAAGTCAAAGGTCAAGTGTAGTGCACTATAGGGAATAGGGTGCAACCTGGGTTGAATTAGGGTGCTATTTGTGACGCAATCCGGGTTTATGGGGGCATCTCACTCTCGTCACCGGAACAACCTCCACTCTAAACTACACACACACACACACACACACACACACACGCACACACACACATACACGCACGCACATGCACACATACACGCACACACACACACACGCACACACACACGCACTCACACACACACACACACGCACACACACGCACTCACACCTGTCAGGGCTACGGTTAAAGGTAGTAACTCAACATTACAGCTTTCACCTTGAGTCAACAAGGCCATCGACAGTCAGGTGCTTTAAGAGTGTGTGTGTGTCATTGTGTGTGTGTGCTTGTGTGTGCTTCTGTGTGTGTGTGCTTGTGCTTGTGTTTGTGTGTGCTTGTGTGTGTGTGTGTGTGTGCTTGTGTGTGTGTGTGCTTGTGTGTGTGTGTGTGTGTGTGTGCTTGTGTTTGTGTGTGCTTGTGTGTGTGTGTGTGTGTGTGCTTGTGTGTGTGCGTGTGCTTGTGTGTGCGCGCTGTAAAGCAAAGCTATTAACCCATGTTCCAGAGTCAGTTTAATGGTCTGCTCTCCATCATTAATATTAGACGGGGTTGTAACGACTGATCCCAAATCAGCCTGGAAGAGGCAGGGAGTTGGCTTCCCACAGAGAGTGGATTATTTTTGTGATATATATATTTTCTTCTACTCTACTTGACATTTCATTTTATATTTCCATGCAATGATGTTTCTAATAAACTTGAATCTCGAATCTTGAGAGTGGGTCTGTCACGCCCTGACGTATGGAACTCTTGTTTGTGGAGTCAGGGTGTGTGAATCTATGTGATGTTTTCTATGTTTAGAATCTAGAATTGTATT